TAAAAAAAAAAAAAAAAAAAAAAACCAGCCTTAGCTTAATACCCAAAACCTTGTTGATTTTTAAATATGTTCTTAGGAAGATGGCATTTTAATTTGTTTAAAGTTATCTAAAATGTTATATGTGCTTTAGAATGCAGGCTGAGTGGTTCTGTGGGTAGGTGATACAGGAAAGATAGAAGATGAAATAGTTTTTGAGTGACATTTCATGTTATTGATGAATGTTACATGAGGACCTCAGATGTGAAAAACAATAAAGTGGCTCTTGAGCAAGCCAGTCCTATGACATGTTCCTATCCAATAAAGGTCCCTTGGCATTTATGTATTTAGAAGAATATTACTGAAACCTTATGTGTTACATACATTGTACATTTTCCCTTTTGGCCTTTCAGAGTGTTTATCTTGATATGTTTCAAAAATAGAATGAAAGAATGGGAAAGAACTATCCCTTTGCCCCCAAAAATCTCTTTGCCAGTAACTTTCTTTACCTGGACATGTTTAATTTTCACTTTTTTTTTTTTTTTTTTTTTTTTTTTTTTTTTTTTAAAAAAAAAAAAAAAAAAAAAAAAAAAAAGAGGACGATAATGGACCAGGCCTCTGCCTTCCAAGTGCTGGGATTAAAGGCGTGTGCCACCATGCCTGGGAATTATTTTCACTTTTAAACAATTTGATATACTAGTTTAATAGCAGTACTACAATATACAGATCTTTGGCTGGGATGCTTGATTCTAATTTTTTTTTAATGCTCATGAGGAATTTTAGGGGAAGAATATTTCATCTATTAATAAATGTGTGTCATAATAAGTGTGTGTCATCTGAGGGAGCCCATTAGACACTCTTGGACAAAGCATGAGTGGTTAATTCTCACAGGAACCATGAAGTTGTTTCATTAAAACATTGCTATTATCAACAGAGTAACCAAAAGGTACAAGTCAAATCTTTCACCAATTTTATGATAGTAAAAATATTATCAGGCTGGAGACATGCCTCATCAGTTAAGAGCACTGACTGCTCCTGCAGGGGACCGGGGTTGGAGTCCCAGCACCCACATAGCAGCTAAAAAACGTAACTCCAGTTCCAGGAGAATTTGACACCCTCTCTGACCTCTGTGGGCATTGTACAATGTGGGTACACTTACATACATGCAGGCAATACACTCATACACATAGAATAAAAATAATACATTTTAAAAATTATCAAACATCACCCCTGGCAGGAAGATGTTTGCTAGTAGATTTTTTTTTTAATTCTTTTTGTTATTTATTTACTGGGGGGGAGGTCAGAGGACAGTTTGTGGGAGATTCTGTTCTGCCACTGGGTCTCAGGGATTGAACTCAGGTTGTCAGGCTTGGTGGCAAGTGATTTTACTTCCTGAGCCATCTCACCAGCCCCTGGATATTTAAATTAATAGTTGTAGAACTTCTAACTTGGTGTATAGCAAATTATTCTTAGATAGTAGGCTATTAATATTTCTTGTTAAAACATATTCAGTGACTAAGCACTTTTTTAGCTGGAGTAAGAAATTATATTTTTGTGGGTGGGCGTACAACTCAGTGATAGTGCTTGCCTTGCATGTATAAACTCCTGGCTTCAATTCCCAGCGCTGTGACAAAAAAAAAACAAGAAAAAAGAAAGTATTGTTGGATGGGAGTATAGTCCAGTGGTAGAGCACATTCTTAGCATGTGTAAGGTCCTGGGCTGATCCAGCAACACACAAGCACCTACACACACACACACACACACACACACACACACACATTTTGTTCATTAATGAGCATCAGTGGCTTATAGGCCTATTGTGTTGTTTTAACTAGATAAAATATCTTCTTTAAGTTTCTAATAATTATTCTCAACTGAGAGAGTGTTGTTCTTTTTTCTAGATTCCTTACCCGTTTGGTCTATCCTGCCTGTTCTTACTCCTCTTGCATATCTCCACTTGCCAGATTCTCATTTATGTAAGACCTACATGAAGAGCTGTGGAGGCAGTAAGTCCTCCTATCAGTCAGTCAGGCCTGAAGATCCCTCCCTTACGAACTAGACTAACACAAGAGCTACCTACACACATCAACCTGCTGTCGGCTGGAGCAAAGCCCTGGAGAACTAAAGGTGACAGTGATGAAAGAAAAGCGATCTCTTGGACAAAGACTCGTGGATGAACGTAAACATTATTACAACGGATTCTGCCTATGCTGCATTGACACCAAAGTTGCTGTCAGGATGGTTTGGAAGTTCCTGCATGGACAGGTGCTAACCAGATGAGAGTGGTGAAGGGTAGGCAAGAGTCATATTTGAGATAGAAAATGTGAAATTAAAAGGAACAATTTTGGAACCAAATTTAACTAGAACTTCATCTTAAAAATCCTCAAGTGGGGCTGGAGAGATAGCTCAATGGTTAAGAACACTGTTTGTTCTTGCAGAAGACCTAGGTTTGAATCCCAGCACCCACATGGCAGCTAACCACTGTCCATAACTCCAGTCCCAAGGGATCGAACAGCCTCTTCTGACCTCCGAGGGCATTGCACAACACCGGTGCATTTACCTACGTGCAGGCAGTACACGCGTACACATAAAAATAATTTAAAAAAAAAAAAGATCCTCAAATAATTTGCTTAGCAGGCTCAAAGCCCTGGGCTTGATCCCTGGCACTCCCCACCCTTTAAAAAAAAAAAAAAATGGGGCTGGAGAGATGGCTCAGTGGTTAAGAACACTGGTTGTTCTTACAGAAGACCTGGGTTTGAATCCCAGCACCCACATGACAGCTCACAACTGTCTGTAACTCCCTCCCATCCCAGGGGATCCAACAGCTTCTTCTGACCTCCGCAGGCATTGCACAAAATGGGTGCACTTACCTACATGCAGGCAATACACGCATACACATAAAAATAATAAATAATAAAAATAAAATTTTAAAAAAGGAATCTTAAAATGGAAATTATAACTACTGATCAGAAACCAAAGTTTTATGCCTCCTGGGGGTAGAACCCAGGGATTTGAACATGATAGGTAAGCTCCCCTGGAGCGGTAAGAACCTCCAGCCCCAGAAACTTAAGTTTTTTTTCTCATTTTCTTATTTGCCTGCAACTGTTTAGAATTTAAACTCTTTTTTTGTCTTTTTGAGACAGAACTCTGTCCCTGGCTGACCTGGAACTCACTGAGGTCCACCTGCCTCCGCCTCCCAAGTGCTGGGATTAAAGCCATGTGCCACCATGACCAACTAGGAATTTAAATTCTTAAATTTTATATACTTGCCTAGAGAATTGTTATAATCGTTTTTAATATATTAGAAATATAAAGTGTTGTTCATACAGTAAATGTGTACATTTTAAAAACCTATTTTAAGCCAGGAGTGGTGGCACATGCCTTTAATCCCAGCACTCGGGAGGCAGAGGCAGGCAGATCTCTGTGCATTCAAGGCCAGCCTGGTCTACATAGTGAGTTCCAGGACAGCTGGGGCTACAGGGAGACCCTGTCTCAAAAAGACCAAAAAATAATAATAATAATAATAATAAATAAAAACTTATTTTAAGGCTGAACATGGTGATGCATGCCAACTTTAATCCTAGCACTTGGGAGGAAGAGGCAGGTGGGTCTCTGAGATCAAAATCAGCCTGGTCTACATACTGAGTTTACTGAGTTCTAGGTCAGCTTGAGCTGCAGAGAGACCCTGTCTCAAAAAGGCCAAACCAAGAGCAATGGCACATGTTGTTAGTCATGGGCACCAGTGACACTGGGGCAGGAGGATCGGGTGAGCCCAGGAGATTGAGCCTGGGCAGCAAAGTGAGCCCTCATCTCAAAAAGGAAAGAAGTTAGTTTTATTCTATTTTTTAAAATTATTTTATTTATTATTTTTATTTTATGTGTATGAGTATATTGCCTACATGTATGTGAGTACACCCATGTCGTGCAGTGCCTGCGGAGGTCAGAAGAGGCTGTCGGGTCCCCTGGAACTGGGGTTGAGGACAGTTCATAGCCGCCATGTGGGTGCTGGGAATCAAACCTGGATCCTCTGCAAGAGCAGTCAGTGCTCTTAATCGCTGAGCCACTTCTCCAGCCCTGGAAAGAAGTTAATTTTAACCAATACTATGTTACCAAAATGTGGACCCTTAAGAGGTGCCAATGCTATGTTGTGCTTGTCATAGATTTCCTTGGGGATGCCCATAAATACTACTTGAGAGTACCAAGGCAGGCTTTTTTGTTTGGGTGGTGGTCTTGTTTGATTTGGTTTGGGGCATGTCCTAAAATATGAAATATTGCTTATGCATTTATTTCTTTAGCTATTGAGAACTTGTGCTGATCTCTTCTGCCTGGTTCCATTTATGGTCTTCTAATTGTACCTTTTATGGAATTCTTGATACCAGTGTTCCTGAAGCTCTTTCCAGACATGTTGCCATCAGCTTTTGAAAGTGAATCTGAAAAGGTATATAGATTTTAAAACTCTTGAAGAAAACTTAATAGACTTTAGTTTTCAGTTAAGTTTTTGTTTTTTTTTTTTTTTGGTTCTTTTGAGACAAGGTCTCCCTGTAGCTCTAGCTGTCCTGGAATTCACTATGTAGACCAGGCTAGCCTTGAACTCAGAGATCTGCCTGCCTCTGCCTCCTGAGTGCTGGGATTAAAGGCGTGCACCACCACGCCCAGCTGTTAGTTTTTAGGTTTACAGGGAAATTGGGCAGAAAGTAGAGTTCCCATATATTCCTCATCCCCCACCCCAGTTTTCCCTACTAGTAACAACTCGTATCAGCATGTACATGTTATTACTGAAGAACTAATGTCAATAGACTATTAATTACAGGTCCTACTTGACATTTGGGTTCAGTCTTTGTGGTTCTGTGATAATGTCTCAGTCTCTTACAGAATAAATTCGCCTCGCTAAAGCCCCATACGCTCCATAGTTTGTACCCACTCTGCTCTTCTCTAGGCTGTAGCTACCACAGATGTTCACAGCAGCCCTATAGCTTTACCTTTTTCAGAATGTCATATAGTTGGGATCATACAGTGTGTTGCTTTTCGGACTGGGTTCAGACTGGTTCTTAGTAATATAATATGCATTTAAAATTCTTCCATGAAAAGACATGTTTCCTTATATCACCGAACAATACTTCTATTTATGTTTCTACAAATATTTTTTATTTCTATACATTAGTTACTGATCAACTGATGTTGGAAGAGATTTTCAGCAGTGAATTTAAACCTTTTTAGAGCACTTTGTTAATATTTACATTCTGGTATAAATATGTATTTATATGTAATGTATGTATATAGCTTAAAAAATATATTTAACAATGTAATGTGCTTATTTCTAGGTAGTATTTTTATTTTTATGTGTATTTTTATTGTATGTGTATGAGTGTTTTTGCCTGCATATATGTAAGATCACCATATGTGTGCAGTGCCCTCAGAGGCCAGAAGAGGTGATGGATCCCCTGGGATGGAGTTAAGGGTGGCTGTTAGCTGCCATGTGGGTGCTCTGCAAGAGCCACTGAGGCATCTCTCCAGCTCCAGACAAGGTTTGTTACTGTTTTGTCTTGTTGATTTGGTTTTGCTTTGTTTAGAGAGGGTCTCACTTATGTAGACCAGGTTGGTCTCATCTCACACAGTGCTGCCTCTGCCTCCGGAGTGCTGGAATTAAAGGCATGCTCCACAAGTTTGTTTGTTTTGAAAAATGGTTGCTTCTAATTTTGGGTACGTATGAATAAAAACCACTATAAATATTTGTGTTCAGGTTTTTTTTTTTTAAACCTGGGAAAAGGTGATTGCTAAATCATATAGTAAGACTATATTTAGCTTTGTACAAAATTGCTAAGCTGTCTTCCGGTAGTCCACCATTCTGCATCCCACTCAGCACTGTTCCCTATCTTCCCAGCATCTGACACTGTCATGTTGAAAACTAACCATCTAATAAGTGATGGTTGAATACTGACCATCTAATGATTGCAGAGTAGTTGAGCATATCTTCATGTGCTTATTTGGCATTTGTATATCATCTTTGTGTAGCTGTATATCTAGATCTTTTGCCCACTTTGTTTGTGTGTGTGTGTGTGTGTGTGTGTGTGTGTGTGTGTGTGTGTGTAGACAGGGTCTCCCTGTAATACCAGTGGACCTGGAAACTCACTATGTAGACCAAGTTGGCCTGGATCGCACAGAGATCCACCTGCCTTTTCCTCCAGTGCTGAGATTAAAGATGTGTGCCACTGTGTCCCACCCCTGCCCACTTTTTTTGTGTGTGAATGTGTGTGTACATGTGTGCATATGTGCCTGCATGTTCATGTGTGTGTGCAAGTATGTGCACATGGAGGCCTAAAGTTGCCTGTGTCTTCCTCGGTCACCCTTCACCTTATATTGAGTCAGGGTCTCATGCTTGCTGCTTGGCTAGTGTATTGAACCAGTTTGCCCCTGGGTTTCACATGCTGGGATTACAGTCCTAATGACAGGCAAGCACTTTACCCTCTGAGCTATTATGGTCCCAGTTCCCTTTTGCCTACTTTGTAATCAGATGTTTTGTTTCCTTATTGTTGTTTTGAATTGTTTATTTGGGTAAAAGTCCTTTATCAGATACACATTTTGCAACTATCTTCTTCCCATCTGTAGTCTGAAGCCTTTTTTCCCCAGTGCCAGGCTAGAACCAGGGTTTTTGCCCATGATAAGCAAACATTCTACTGTTGAGCCATATCCCCATACCTGAGGCTTGTCTTTTCACATTCTAAACAGTGTCTTTCACAGAGCAAACTCTTGTAATGATGTCATAACATTTTTTTCTTTGCGGATCATGCTTTTGGAATTAGCTGGAAGCTCATTAACAAACTCAAAGTCACTTTGCTTTTCTTCTTTTTTTTTCTCCTAGGAATTTTACAGTATTGCATTTTTTTTATTTATTTTTATTTTATGTGTATGAGTGTATTGCCTGCATGTATGTGAGTGCACCTGTGTCATGCAGTGCCATGGAGGTCAGAAGAGGTCTTCGGATTCCCCTGGAACTGGAGTTAAGGACAGTTTGTAGCTGCAATGTGGGTGCTGGGAATGGAACCCGGGTCCTCTGCAAGAACAGTCAGTGCTCTTAACCACTGAGCCATCTCTCCAGCCCTGCATTTTACATTTAGGTATCTGATCCAATTTATTTTTATGAAAGTTATAGTATCTGTATATGGATTGTTTTATGCATGAATATCCAGTTTTTCCATCATCATTTAATGAAAAGACTGTCTGTTCTCTACTGTATTTTAACTGCTTAAAACAAAACAAAGCAAAGCTGGGAATTAGTCTCAGAACTCGGGAGGCAGAGGCAGGTGGATCTCTGTGAGTTCCAGGCCAGCCTGGTCTACATAGTGAGTTCCAGGCCAGCCAAGGGCTATATAGTGAGACCTGTCTCAAAACAACAACAAAAAACCCACTACTGTTACTTTGATGAATGAGGAGTGCTGTTCATGAAGAGTCCCTGAGAATGCAGGGCCTGAGTGATCACCACAAAGGAGAGGGCTGCAGGGCAAGTTCTTTCACCCTCTCCGTTCTGTGTCTCTACCAGACAGTAATATGAAGGCAGAAGCAAAGCACTGTTAAAGGACAAGGAGAGAAATCTTCCAGTCAGTGAGACTGGGAAATGTTTCACAGATGGAATTTTGGAGCTGAGACTTAGAGAACGGATGAAATTTTACAGTCCTTAAGTCAGACAGGCTGGTCACAGGTTCAGGACAGACAAAAGTGGTATGCCAGGTTGGAAAGCATCTCTCACTCTAAGGAATTTGAACTTTACCTTGACTGTGGTGATTCATAGCAGGTATGAGTCTAAGCAACAGTAAATGACATATTAGATCTGTATTTTAGAAAAGGAATTTTAGCTGGGGAGATGGCTCTACAGTTAAGAGCACTGGCTGCTTTTGCAGAGAACCTGGGTTCAGTTCCTAGCATCCAACCAACTGTAATTCCAGTTCCAGGGGATCCAGTGTCCTCTTTCTGGCCTCCTCAGACATTGCATGACACAGGTGCACCTACATACATGCAGACAAAACTCTTGTACACATAAAATAAAAATAAATTTTAAAAAAATGAACAAAAAAATAATTTTGCTGACAGAACTGAGAGGGCAGAGTCAAAGAAGAAAACCAATGATGAATTGTCACAAGGGGTGGTAGGGTCTAAATCATGAGATTGATGATAATGAGACAGTGATCTGAGATAGTGTTTTCTTATTTCTTTTAGTAGTGCTAGGGATAGAACCCAAAGCCTCATGCATGCTTGGCAAGCACTCTACCGCTGAGCTTCACCCCATCCCTTAATTTGAGATACAATTAAAGGTCAAAATCAAACTAATAATTTGCTTACATTTAAAATAATCAGGATCTAGCTAGGCGTGGTGGTGCATGCCTTTAATCCCAGCACTCGGGAGGCAGAGGCAGGAGGAGCTCTGTGAGTTCAAACCCGGCCTGGTCTACATATTGAGTTCCAGGACAGCTGGGGCTACAGGGAGACCCTGTCTCAAAAAAGACAAAGAAAAAAAAATAATAATCAGGATCTAGAAACAATGCCACAGCATTCCAGAGAAAATGTTATTGAATGCAAGAAGATGGGAGGATGGGGAAGTGACTTACTTAGGTGGAGGATGGGGAAGTGACTTACTCAGGTACTAACCTCACCTCTGAACACCATTCATTAGAAATCTGAGCAACTTATCATCCTGCTTCTCTGTGCCTATGCCCAGCATCCTGACCATGTTTTTTTTTAATGATTTTTTTTTATTTTTTATTTTTATTTTGTGCATATGCGTGTATTGCCTGCATGTAGGTAAGTGTATCCGTATCGTGCAATGCCTGTGGAGGACAGAGAGGCTGTTGGATCCCCTGGGACTGGAGTTACGGACAGTTGTTCGCTGCCATGTGGGTGTGGGATTTGAATCTGGGTCTTCTGAAAGAACAACCAGTGTTCTTAACCACTGAGCCATCTCTCCAGCCCGACCATGGTTATTTTGAAAATGCACCACACTGCATTTCTGATAATGAATGAGGATTAACAGATACTGGTCAATATAGTGTGTTAGGAGTGTATATTTACTTTTCTTCTGTGTAGTGTTTTTTTCATATCTATTACAGCACCTAACTCACTATATTATAATTATGTACGTTTTCTACTTAAGCTATAATCTATGTTAGCATAGAGCTAATTTCCAAGTTTTCTTTGTAGAAAAAAACCTAGGACTGTATAGAAAAGTTTGGCTTAAGCAGAAGCTAGATGAGGTTAGGAGATAGTATCTCCCATCCTAAATAATAGCAAAGCCTTTCATTGAGGGATATTTTTGAAATTATTAAATGCTTATGATCATGGGGCTGAAGAGATGGCTCAGCAGTTAAGAGCACTGGCTGCTCTTACAGAGGACTGGAGTTCAGTTCCCAGCACCCACATGATGGCTAATAACCATCTGTAACTCCAGTTCCAGGGGATCCAACGCCCATTCCTGACCTCCATGGGCATTGCACAACATGAGTGAACTTACATACATGCAAGCAATACACATAAAAATAAATAAATAAAAAGAAATGCTTATGCTCATTATATTAATGGCAAATACAAGATTAAAGAGACAAGTTTCAAATAGAAGCTACTTTATATTTGGTCTAGTTCTCACAAAACTTATTTAATTAGGTATGCTCATAGTATTAATACTGTACATGTTAATTAGGCATGCTAATAGTATTAATACCGTACATGTTAATTAGGCATGCTCATAGTATTAATACCGTACATGTTAATTAGGCGTGCTCATAGTATTAATGCTGTACATGTTAATTAGGCGTGCTCATAGTATTAATACCGTACATGTTAATTAGGCATGCTCATAGTATTAATGCTGTACATGTTAATTAGGCGTGCTCATAGTATTAATACCGTACATGTTAATTAGGTGTGCTCATAGTATTAATACCGTACATGTTACAGGGATGAGGAACAACAAGGTGGTGGTTAGTTCTCGCATCATTACCAAGTTGCAGTTATAATTAACCTTTTCCTCTTCTATTAAGGAAGAAAAACAGAAAAAGAAGATGACAGCAAAGTTGGAACTAGCAAAATTCCTTCAAGAAACGATGACAGAAATGGCAAGGAGAAACGGAGAAGTTGGGAGATACCTCGTCACAGTTTTTATCCTATTTAAAACAGGTATTGGGGTCTTATACCAGCAACTCCTGGGCTGGACTTACATTTAAAAATGCATCTTATCATGGATTGTCCAAATTGTCCAGAATCTGAAACTCCACATATCTACATTATAAATATACAACCTTGTGGATTTATCTATTTTTATTTGATGTGTATAAGTGTTTGACTGCACGTAAATGCACTACGCTTATGCATGCAAGTGCCCATGGAGGCCAGGAGTGCACTGGATTCCCTGGAACTGGAGTTACAGATGGATAGCTGCCATGTGGGTGGCTGGGCACTGTTTAAAGCCAGGTCCTCTGCAAGAGCAGCCAGTAATCTTAACCACTGAGCCATCTCCCCAGCCTCCTACTTATCATGTTGAAGACTAATAACTTCTTGGGAAGATTAGGAGAAATAGCCAAACTTTAGAAATACTCCTGATTTTTTCTAGAGATTTAGTTTTCTTTTAGACAGACTTTTTTGGGCCTGAGGGACTTGGCTAGGGATTGAACCTGGGGCCTCATGCATGCAAGGCAAATGCTCACTTTCCCACTGAGGTGCAGCCCCATGCCCAGACAGATTTCTATATTCTCTTTGAACCACAGCAGCACATATAGTCTATAACTGCTTTGATGTTTCCTTGAAATAGTCTTTTGGAAAGTTTATATTAGGTAGGACATTTTAATTAGCCTTTGTCCCATTGTCTAGGTCCAGACAGGCCACAAGCCCAGCACGAAGGAAATAGTTCACTTTTCCAAACTCTTTGAGGATCAGTTAGCCCTGGAACACTTAGATCAACCCCAGCTGATTGCCCTTTGCAAGCTGCTAGAATTGCACACCTTTGGAACAAACAATTTGCTCCACTTTCAGCTCCTGATGACCCTGAAGTCTATGAAAGCAGATGATGACGTAAGAGCTTGATGTCGCTCTCTGGAATCTGGGGGGAGGGGGATCTGAGGCACCTCTACAAAGTGCAGGATTTTCTCTTGGGTATGTCATGGATGCATTCTGGCAAAATGAGTTGTTTAAACAACCATTGCCATGACAACTTGAACTTTGATTACTCACTTCAGGACATGTTTGTTGTTCCAGGATCCATTTTCTTGAGCATTAAAAGCAGTCGACTGTTTGGATGTATTAGCTAGGACTAAGCTAAAGCAGTTAGGACCTGCTGGGAGGGAAATAGCAGCTCAGTAGCTTCCTGGCAGCTGGACACCTCTGTCCCTTACAGAGGAGTTGGTGCCAAAGTAAATAATCTACTGGGTAAGTTGGTCTGGTAAGAAGTGGGTAGCAGAGCACAGTGCTAGGAGGAAAAGCAGGATCTAGCCATCTTATAGAAAGCACCATTTGGACTATACCTACTAATTAGACTCCTTTGACAAATGGAAAGAGTTTCTTGAATCTACATCAGCTGCTATAAAGCATTCTACTTGGAGGAGCAGGTTTCCCAGAACTGAGAACAGATTCCATTGGCCCCATTTAGATTTCAGATATTCCTTCAGAACTTTGGAACAAACAATACAGGTCCCAGAAGTGTGATCATTTTGGATCACACCAAGCAGAAGTTATTTGTTGAGTCTTTTAGACCAGACACTGGGCCATTCCTGGGGCAGCGGTGGGGAAGTGGCACTAAGGGTAACAAACGGAGCCCAAAGCATGTCAAGTCACATATTTTTTTCTAACAGATCCTAAAAATGACTCAAAACAGACAGGTAGATGTCACAACCAGGCAAAGCGTGAGCCAAGAATGCTCGTTAGTTGTCTCCATCTCAATTGCCGCCTTCCTATAGCGCCTGCTCTTTTAGTCTTGGCCTTCGTAGCAATCATTGCAGGAGATAAAGGGCCAAAGCATCAATTTGGATTTCTGTTGATTTTGCTGGAATGTAAGGATTACATGAAATTGAAATAAAAATGCCTGACACTGCTCCTTACATTTCTTGCAGATAATTGCCAAAGAAGGAGTGAAGGCTCTGAGTGTGTCAGACCTGCAGTTTGCCTGTAGGGCCCGAGGGAAGAGATCACTAGGCCTTACTGAGGAACAACTGAGGCAGCAGCTCACAGAGGCAAGCTGCAGCCCTCCCAGCCCTCTCCATGGAGACTGTCTCCTCCACAGTCTACTAACTCTAGTGTGTGATTTCTACTTTGCAAGTGGTGTGACAAAATACCTGAGATAGCCTTCTCATGGAGGAAGATTTCTTTTAGCTCATGGTTTCCAGACTTTGAGGCAGTGATTTCCTGGCCCCATCCTCTTGTCCTATAGCAACACATTTTATCCTGCAAAACTGCATAGTAGGGAGTCTGGTCATTTCACGATGATCAAGAGGCAAAGAGGGCCGGTGTATCTTTGTGAGTTCGAGGCCAGCCTGGTCTACATAGTGAGTTCCAGGACAGCTGGGGCTAAAAGGAGCCCTTGTCTAAAAAAAAAAAAAAAAAAAAAAAAAAAAATAGGCAAAGAGAGCCAGGTGTGGTGGTACAGCCTTTAGTCCCAGCACCTGGGAGACAAAGGCAGGAGGATCTTGAGTTTGAGGCCAGCCTGGTCTACATAGTGAGTTCCAGGCAGCTGGGGCTACAGGGAGACTTTGTCTCAAAAAGACAAACCAAACCAAAACAAAAAGAAACAAAGCAAAAGCAAAGCTAAATTTGTGTCAGCATTCAAATTTTAGTGATGACTTTCTGTACATTGCTTTAAAAATGAAGACTTGGTAACTGAAAACAAAATAAAGAACAAAAGCAAATCCCAAATTACACAACATCTACAAAGAAGGTGTGGTCTTTTCGTAAAAGGAAAATTTATATTCATCAAAGATTGTTCAGGAAAAAATGAATAGGGCCCAGAGAGATGGCTCAGTGGGTAAAGGCACTTGACACCAAGCCCGATGAACAGAATTCCATTCAAGGGACTCACATGGTAAAAGAGAGAACCGACTCCTGAAAATTGCCCTCTGACCTACACATTTGTACGATAGGATATGTGAGCAGAAACAAGCTCTTCAGCA